TTTTTAAAAAATAATAATAATCTAAATAATATATCTATTAGAGAGATTAACTAATCTATTAGAATTCCTTTAAATAATTATTTTAACTATAGCAAGCTATAGACCTTGCCAAAGCCCGGGCCGGGCCGCTAAGGAAGCCTGTAGCCTGTGACTAGCGGCCTGTGGGCCTAAGTTTTAGGCCTGAGCCTATAGGCCTATAGCCCGCAGGCCGGGCCACAGGCTGCTAAAAAAGCCCCGCAGGCCTGTGACCTGCCTATATAGGAAGGTATCCTAAGCATAACTTAGTATAAATATAAAAATTTTAATGTATTTCTTAGTGTAGTATCATTATTGTATTACTATAGGTAGTAGGTACCTTAGGATTCAGCTGAAAGATAAGCTTACAATCGCTATAGCCAGTTTGTTATAATCGCCATAGCCAAATTGGTGTAATCCCTATCGCCAATTTATTATAATCCCTATAGCTAATTTAGTATAATCTCTATTGCTAATTTGTTATAATTGCTATAGCTAACCTATACTTAGTACTAGTATTATCAGATTTTAGGTATTTTATGCTTAGTGAGTACTATCTATTAGTTATTATCTATCTAGTATTGTTAATTCTGGTAATATTACCTATATATGCTTAGTATATATACCTAGTACGTATACCTAGAATTAGGCATCGCCAGAACCCACTATAACCCGGACCCAACCCAAAATGGGTTTTGGGTCGAATACCATAACCCATTGATAGGTTTTAGGTTATCACCTATAGCCCAAAACCTAATTGGGAACCCAATGGGTTCCTATTTTGGTATAAACAAGGTAAACATACCAAGCTTTTAAATACAGTATGTATTAGTACTGTTTTTAGGCCTTATATATAGGTATTTTAAGTTTTTTATTTTATATTATTATTATTCTATATCTAATATATATATATTATATATTAAAAGGCTAAAAAGTAGTGTATTTAAAAATAAAATAAATTACAGAGCTCTATAGTAAAGATAGTGGTATACCCTACTAGGTAATATATATCTTTACAAAAAGTCTTATTTTTCTAATAACTCTTTCATTACTGTATATTTTAGTCCTAAACTTTAAATATACAATGATTAATACTATATATATATCTATATGAAATCTTAGTATCTAAATCTTTCTAGAAAAAAAAGATATAAATCAAGTATTGAAATACACTACATAAAATTTATAAATAAATTATGCCAAAATAGGTTGAAATGGGAACCTACTGGGTTATTGGGTTTAACCCATTGGGTTTTGGGTTGGGTTTTGGGTCGGCATCTCCAACCCAAAATGGGTTATGGCGATGCCTACCTAGAATATAATAATAATAATTTATAAATATTTTACTGATGTATTTTATATACTAAATATTAATATTTTTGTTTAAAATTTTATTTATATAATAGTAAGAATATATATTATATATATTATAAGTTTGAAGTACTTCTGATTTATAGAAATTAAAATATTTTAGTTTTAGTTATTTGATAATTTTAAATATAAAGATATATATATCTAATATAGAGGATAGTACTACTACTATTCTTCTTAAAATTCTAAGAGCTTTAGCTATAGGCCTAAGCAGAGTATAGGCCCTAGGGGCCTACTTCTAAACTAATTAAATAATAGTACTAATTATATTATTATAATATTACTAGTTAAATAAAGCTACTATATAATAATATACTATAATATATAATACTAAGGCTATATAGATAATAGTTACTGAATACCCCCTTTTTGCCTGCAAAATAATAATCAACAGCCAGCAATAGCGATAGGGATTATACCAAATTAGCTATAGGGATTACAATAAATTAGCTATAGCGATCGTAATAAATTGGCGATGGTGATTATAACAAATTAGCTATAGCGATTATAAGCTTAGTATTATACATAGCTATACACTCAAAATTACTAAAAATACAATATATCTTATGTATTCTTATGTTTGTCTTATTTGAAGGCCTGCAGGCCGGGCCGGCCTACCCGCAGGCCGGGCTTTCTTAGCGGCCTGTAGCCCGTGACTAGCGGCCCGGATAGGCCCGGGCCCAAAAGCCTACAGGCTTTGGCAAGGTCTAGTAAGCTAGGCTATTAGATAAGTAAATATTATCTACTACTTAAAGCCCTAGAGATAAAGATCTAGTAAGCTTATTTAAGACCTTAGTATTACTATAATAATACTTAATTAAAAGACTTAGGAAAAATACTATCTTTATAAGTTCTGACTTTTAGTCTTAAATAAAAAATAGTTATCTATCTCTATATTCTGATTTATATCTAAAATAGTATTAAAATATATATAGATATTAATATCTATATAGAGATAGACCTTATTAGTTATAAATTTATTTAGAAATATTACTTTAATTAAGCTAAGTATAATACTTTTTTTTTTAGAAATAATAGGCTAATAAGGTACCTCTATCTATAGTATATAGACTATTCTAATTACTATATATAATTTTTAGGAAACTAAGTAAGAGTTTTTATATCTCTATATTATTATTAATAAAGATCTCTATCTATTAGGATTCTTAGTATTATTATTAAATATAACTATTTAAAAATATAAATTATATTAGCTCTATAGTAGAAATAATAATAGTTTAAATATAAAAGAAAGATAATAAAATAGTTAAAGCCTTATTAGTTTATAAAAGTATATAGAAACTAAGCTTATATCTTTATAGTTATTAAAATATCTAAAAAAGTCTAGCTTCTCCTAGAAAAAGAAAAAAAATTAACAGTAAGTTAAGACTAAATTCTCTCTAAATTATTAGTATTTTAGAATATATTTAAGATATAGAACTCTAAGATTATACTACTATAAAAGAAAACTAACTATTTAATTAAGCTTAAAGAAGATATATTATCCCTATATAGCCTAATTTATATTCTTTTATAAGTAGAACTTATAGAGTTATAGAAGTATTTTAATAAAAACTTAGTAAATAGTTAAATTAGACTATTAAAGAGCCTAGCTAGTATACCTATCCTATTTATATTCAAAAAGAATAGAGAACTATATCTCTGTATTAATTATTAAAGATTAAATAAAGTTTTTATTAAAAATTAGTATTCTCTATCCCTTATATTAGAGATTCTTAACTATTTTTCTAGGGCTAGATATCTTAGTAAAATTAATATATAAAATATATACTATAGGATCTATATTTAAGAAGAAGAAAAATAAAAAATAGCTTTCTATATAAGATATAGCTATTTTAAATATATAGTTATACTATTTAGCCTTACTAATATACTAATAATATTCTAAAGCTATATTTATACTATACTTTATAGTCTTGTTAATATTATTTATATTATATATTTAGATAATATTCTTATCTTCTCTAAGACCTATAAAAAGTATATAGAATACTTTAGTCTTATACTTAAAAGGTTAAAGAAAGCCTAACTATTTATTAAAGTCTCTAAATATTAATTCTATAAAAAAAAAAGTTAAATTTCTTAGCTTTATTATTAGTTAAAATAGTATCTCTAAAGACCTAGAATAGATTTAAACTATCTAAGAATAAAGGTAGCCTATATTCTATAGAGATATCTATAGGCATCGCCAAAACCTATTTTTCAACCCATTTCTTGGCATGCCAAGAACCAAAAAACCCATTCAAAACCTATTTTGCATAAAAATTATATAAAACCAGTATAAAGTAGCCTAATTAGGAAGGTCTTGGCATATTTATGCTTGAACTCTAATAATGGGTTCTTGGCAATGGGCTTTGGGTCGGCATCTCCAACCCAAAATGGGTTATGGCGATGCCTAGTCCGGGTTATAGTGGGTTCTGGCGATGCCTACTTAGCCCTCTCTAAAACAAGCTGCTTCTATTAAGATAGATCTAGTACTGGTCAGGACAGTATAGAAAGTTAATAGCTATAATAAAAAATCAAAATTAGCAATACATTGGCGATATATATTTACCCCAAGGAACGGTCTGTTTCAGAGATATATTCTGGAACAGAACTCTGAGCGAGGAGCAAATACTACCGGCTTTATATCAGAGTACCGTATATTGGCTATATTTACAACACAGGATAGTATCTACTTTGCTGTTCTAAATCTGCAGTCATTGATGGGATATATTTCCTAAACTTCTATCAGGTAATTAGAGGCTATAGCCAAAGTAATGGTTCTGTTGTCTGAAGATTTCTTCGACTCAATCAAGGCATTGCTCAATACCTGACTAATGTGGTTTAGTGGGTTTTCTATTTCTGGCCCCTGTTCCATTTCGGGTTGACTAACATCTTTCTAACTAGCTCCCGTGCATTTATGTAGAATGCTATTTCGCGTATTCACAACAAGTGCGGTCATGAACATGTCTGAATACGATTCATGGTTAGTGAATAATCTTCAGTCTGAAATTTCAAGTCTAACTCTAAAATTTACGAAAAGTAAGCCTGCCATATAGATAGCAAAACGTGGAGGCACTAACTCACCTGCAAAGCTGCTTTAGATCACTGCGCAGAATGCAGTGTTAGGGATTCCACCTCGAGAACTTTGTTGGGAATAAGGATCCGTCAAGCCCTCTGCCAGAGCCTTTTCCCTATGAGTCTAGTCAACTCTACCCGATCATCCCAGCCAAGGACCCTATTCTATTCTTCTTCCTGGGTCTTCCACTTCAATTCACTCCAGTACATATATATTGTATGTTCTCACTCCTACTATGGTACTCGACGGGTCCGGATGGGAAATATTTCGGATAGGGATACTTGTAGGTCTCTCCGGTCTCATCAGCTATATAAGAGTTTTCAGAATATAATCACGTAAAGTAGTAGTTATAACTTGGATAGGCATTGTCTCTTTCTATTCCTCTCTTCGTATATATTAGAGGACAAAGGATATCATTATGAAGCATTAACCTAACTGAATGGAAGTCTCATGGGGGTCTGAAGCTTCTATAGGAAAACCTCTAGAATAACATGAAAAGAATGAGACCTCACGCATACGCCCTATACTCCTCCTAAGTACCGCAAGGCTTCCCAAGTAATACGCTGATTGTATCGTCACGAAGATTTGCAGCCACGATATCGGGATAGGTGTCTTCGTTAAAGTCACCCACTGCAACACCCCATGGCTCAGCCCCTACAGCGAATGTTTGCTGAGGCTCGAAGGTCCCCGATCCAGTACCCAGAAAAACACCTAATGAATTGCTGCCGGCAGCACTATTCGCAATAACCATATCGAGATTGCCATCCTTGTCGACGTCGGCTAGTGCAATACCATACGGCTGAGGCCCTGCAGGAAATGTAGTCTGCGCCCCGAAGGTCCCAGAGCCAGTCCCAAGTAATACACTAACTGTATCTCCGTTGACATTTGTAGCCGCAATATCGAGAATGCCATCCCCATTAAAGTCGCCCACGTTAACATCAACCGGCGTAGCTCCCACAGGATACGCAGTCTGTGGCAGGAAATCCCCTGTTCCAGTCCCAAGCAAGACGCTCACCGTATCGTCAACAACATTCGCAACCACAACATCAAGATGTTCATCCGCGTTGAAGTCTCCCACCGCAATAGCAGCAGGTCCGGATCCGACAGTGAATAAGGTCGGCGATCCGAAGTTCCCTAAACCATCCCCAAGTAAGAGACTCACTGCATTACCATTATTTGCAGCCACAATATCAAGATTGCCATCTTCGTCAAAGTCACCCACTTCAATACTACGTGCATTACCAAGTCCTGGAAATGTGTTATGCAGCTGGAAAGTTCCTGATCCAGTATTGAGCAAGATACTCAGTGTGCCAACGGCGGCATTCGTAGCCGCAATATCGAGATACCCATCTCCGTTAAAGTCACCAAGTGCAACATCCGCTGGCCCTGATCCAACGGGGTACGCGGTCTGTGTCTGAAAGCTTCCTGATCCAGTTCCCAGCAAGACGCTTACTGAATTGCTGGCGCCACCACTATTTGCAGTGACGATGTCGATATGGCCATCTTTGTTGAGATCGCCCAGTGCAACAGCAGACGGAAAGCGGCCCACGGCGAATGCGGTCTGTGGTTGGAACCCTTGGAATATTGTGCAGGTGCAGCTGCCTGAAGAGCATGTTTCTCCGGTAGGGCACTATGAACAGAGAGAATGCACGTTAGCTAGAACATCGCCAGAATAGCAACCCTCCAGGGTGTGACGATAGATCAATCTTACACTGTTTCCACAACTCCCACAGTTATCAGTGCTGCTCTCGAGGTCGACGCAGGTTCCATTGCAACAAGTCAGACCGGACGCGCACTATCAAGCACCACTTAGTCGTCATCACAAGACGTAGTCTGCGACAGCCTTACACATTGCCCATTACAACGAGAAGAATCGTCACAATCTTTTGGTACACAAACGCAGGACCTATTTATATCAGCTTCAGATGGTTCTGTAACCACGATCGAGAAAGGTACTCACGAAGTACTTTGTCCAATAAGAAGACCAAGTAAATTAGGAGATTCGCTACCATCGTCGTCGCAATAGCCTGATTCGTGGCCTTGTTTCTGACACTTCAATAAATCAGAATATTGGCACCAGCATGCACCTATGAATCCTAATAGGATAATACCTTGTCATTACAATCGTCCGGGTCACAACTGCCTTCCCCACCTCCTCCCACTCCAACCCCGATATCTCCAATATCACCACCCCCAGTGTCAATGTTAATCCCACCACCATTCCCATTGCCAATATTGTTACCTCCATGGGAAATCTTCCCACCTCTAGGCCCACTCCATTTTTGGGGGGTTTCGTCTGCAGTGAGGGCAGAGACAAGGCCACAAGAAAAAAGTATTAGAGAGAAACGCATTTTGATGCGCATCCTTTGCAATAAATATTGTCGGGAAACAATGTCAAGTCGAAGTCGTCGTCCTACTCACGAGAAGAAAATTAATTCCCGCCACCTTCAATGACGGGGGTCATATCTACAGTAAGTGTTTTCATAATCCTTAATTTTCAGTTTAGACGCCATCTCTAGAATGAAGATCACTCATTCTGTGGGGTTAATGGTATGTGCACAGATGTCGGCAAAGTTTTCCAGCGAGATACGTGGAATTTGATTGATCGCCAGTGTGTGTTCCTAGTCCAGGGGGCATGTCCCAAGTGATGGAATTTCAGGTCCTATTAAGTTAATTAGGGATTTAATAAGTTGATACTGTGTTTTGCTAGGTTGAATTATGAAATGCTAAATCAGGAAAGGCTAGTAGTATAAGTAACTAAAAACTGTATCATTACACCTCTAAAAATATACTCTAGCATGCCCACCATGGCGTAGTCCCAATTCAAGCGTCCTAACTCTAGCACTTCTAACTTCGCAACACGCCACCGAATGGCACCAAACCTCAAGAGTCAAGACCTGGCAGCGTAAAGCCATTGTTCATATTATCCACTGTCTAACTTTTGGTATTATGATTAAAATTGTTAGATATGTTCCCTGGAATGTGAAGAACTTAATTCTTTTAGAAGTCCAGGGTTTATGGTATGCACATAAATCCCGGCAAAACTTTCCGGTAACCAGAATAGAGTTATGTGGGATCTGATTGGTCGTCCGTACGTTCTCCCGGCCTGGCTATTATGTCTGGCTATTATGTCTGGGAAATACCTTATCCCCATCAAATCTTAAGAATTTGTGTTCTTGCACCTGCATTCCCAACCCCTCATCCAATTTTTATCGAGTGTGACAGAGACGATGTGCAAACTAGGAAGCAGCGAATTTTATTCTATCAAGAACATCATAATATATTCTTACTCTATCCCATGGCAGCTTCCGTTCAGCGAGAAAGAAAATACTAAAAACGGTGGATAGTATTAACTGTTAAAGTTTAGATGATTGATTACTCTTCCCGATTTCAGCGAATACATAAAGCTATATAAACAGCGAGGGGACCAGGCTGAAAGTCATCCTAGTGCTTGATATATAACGTGTTTTACCCACGAGTCGGCCACCCCTGCGAGTCGGCCACGTATCTCCACCACCACTATATTATATATAAATAAATCCACCAACACCAATTAAATTGCAAAAACTAAGTACTATTATTAAGCGGGCACCTATTGCGCTTATGCCCTATCTCACAACAATTGCCACAACGCTGTGGCGCCCTCTCATTGGTCGTTCTTGCTGCGCGCGGAGGTGCCGATAGTGTAGCCATATTAGTTTCATTTGCCAATCGTAGGCATATTTGCATATCTTCCACAGTAATGCCGCCTTCATAGGGTATTTAGGCACTAGGTAACGCTTGCCTGCGTAGTTTTCGGCTATTTTCAGCTATTACACGGCTATAATCGGCAGCTGTCATAACAAGCTTGCTTGCTAAGCTTTAGGCACCTCTGCTAAGTTGGTCTAATTGCCGTTGTATCTCAGCTTCATTATCGCTGGATCACCGCTTAATTAGTTGCTTAATTAATAATCCTTGCCGCCAAAAATTAGCTGATTTATATAGCGTATATGGCACAAATTATTTGCTACTAATACTACCACATAATAGTAGTGGTAGTAGTATAAGAGAGAGTATATTAAGCTTTTATAGTACTCTCTCTAGCGAATAGGGTATAATACTAGAGCCTGCAAAGCTACCTATAATAACAGAGCTTTTATAGGTTGCTGTACGTACTGTAGGGTATATATCGAGAAAATCAAGCTTATTAATATAGGTAGTATCTGTACAGGCTATATTCTAAATATACTAGCTATAGAAGTGCTTCAATATACCAAAACAGCCAATATCTAGCGGCTATAATAAATATAATAAGTATACAGGTATATAAATTATAATAATATTATTTACCATACAAATTAAGTTAAATTATAGGGTAAGATAACTCCTATAGCCATCTATAACCAGCATTAAGTAGGTACTATATTACCTCTTAATAATATACAGAATAAAGTATTCTTCAAGCCATAAGAGGCCTATAGCATATGTTATCTATCTATTTTTACTGACCTTAAAGTACCAGTCTCTTAGTACAGTACTAAACCAGCCTGTTATTAAGTTTTTAGCTTTGAAGATAATAGTCAGAGGAAAAACCTTATACTGGTTGATATATTTAATTACAGTTATCTACTCTTGATTACTAGGCTATAGGAGTTTTCGCCGCCTATAGTAATCCCTTCTAGTTACAACCTTTAAAGTACTGGTAATCCCTATTATAAACCCAGTTTTATCAAAATTATAGATATCATCATCATCGATACTATATTTAGCAATTTTAGTAGCAAAAAGATGAAACCACTCCTTAATAACCTTCAGATCTTTATATAAAGCACATTGTATATTGTATCGATATAAAAATTAACAAACTTATATACCCAGTTTTTGCCTACTGTAATAACTTTACCAGAGTATGGCTGTTCTGCAAGTAATATATTAGCTATATCCTTTACCATTATATAGAAGGGGGTTTTGCTACGCAAATCTAGGTCTAGTATCCAATCCTCTAATATATCCTCCTTAATTATAGTTAATTTTATATTATTTGCGCGCTGAACTAGCCGATAAACACAGCCGTTAAGCTAATATTGTAATATTGAGCGTGGTATATCAAAAAGCTACGCAGCTTCACGAATAGATACTACTTTCTCGTTTTTTATGGCCTGGATGGCAAGTTCTATCCTACCCTCCTATTCAATTAATTTTTGTCGTTTTTCATGGCGAATTGGTGGCATGGCGATGGTTGCAAAAGGGAGGTTGCTACACACAACGCGGTTATGGAGACGCGTGGCCGACTCGCAGGGGTGGCCGACTCGTGGGTAAAACACGTTATATATCGGGAATTATTTCTCAGCTGTAAATCAAATCAAGTGATGAAGAGGCTCTATAATCCCCCAATATTGGTGTCAAATCGAAAGTTGTTCGAGTATGGTCTTTACTGCTTCCGCGTGAGTATTCGCAACAGCCAAGAAAAGTGGTGTCAACTTATGCTCATTCTCCGCATTTACCCTAGTTTTTGACTTGAGTAACTGCTCGATGATAGTGGCTTCGCCAATAATGGCTGCAATCATAAGAGGGGAGAGTCTACGCAAATCCCCGGGGCTCCCAATAAGATTCCCACAGTAATATTGTTTCTCATTTCAACGGAGCATACCAGTACCGTTCGACTAACCGCCTTAACCGAATTTATATCTGCTCCTCCATTGATAAATACCTATAAGATTTTAATATACTAAAACTATATAGCAAGCAACATCAGAGGCTTTTTTGTTGGTGGGTTTTCAGCAGAGAAATTCTTAATTTCTAGTAGTATATCTTTATATAGGAGATAAGTTTTGAATAGCTACTTATACAGCAGAGGCTACTGTATCTTATTAAATATATCTAAATCTGTCTCTGTATTAATAAAAAGTCTGTTAATCTTAATATAACTAATTTCTACGGCTATAGATAGTAGTATTTGCCCTTTGCCCTAATAATTAGCTAGGCTCTTATTAATCCTCAGTAACAGCTAGGCTGTTAGAATATCTTATTAAAAGATTAACTATATCAGAAGATTACGTTCAACATTAAAAATCTTTCTGTCCATTAATTTTAGTATTTACATTAATTAAGTATCTTATAATTCTGATATCGCTAGCTTCTATAGCAACAACTAAAGAAGTTTAACCAGCCAAATCTTAGTATTTATTGTCAATATTCTTAATTAAAAGCAAATATCTTACTGTTTCGCTACGGCGGCTTAAGACCGCCTAGAAAAGGGGTGTCTAGCCTTTTAAATCAGTTAAGTTAATCATTATATAGAGTCGACCAGAACTTTTATATAGTTAAGTTATACAAGCTCTACTACAAAAGATGATAAAGTACGGCTATTATCATCTTTCTGGTTAAGATAAGCACTGTAACTTATCAGTATCTTTAAATAAATTAGTCTATAGATATCTTATAGCAGAAAACAGGTATATTCGGCTGTTAACATTATAAAAGTTTAATTGATTGTCTTATACTATAAAAGTACATTAAGTACTTTTAATTCTAATATTGCTTTTACTAAGGGTGAAATACCTTTAATTTAAAATTTAATCTTAAGGAAACTGTTCCTTATATATATGTCAAGCTTTTTAATATTCTTCTTAAGTAGTTTTGGTTTCTTTTTAATAGAGATACTTATATAAAAGAAGTCGTACTGAAGCCGACTTTAGGTAATAGCGTCTTGGGAACTATTTCTTTCAGATAAGCCCTCCGTTTTCAGATACAGATTCCTCTAATCAGTAACAAAGAATATATTCTAATAGGTAAGTATTAATGAAGCTTATCAAACTCAAGGCTTACTCCTTAGGTTAAGGAGAAGACAGAGTTAGCTTTACTGTATAATTCAGTGCCTAATTCAGTGCTAGTTTGGCTTGTTTTAAAGAGTTTAGTACCAATGGTTATAGTGCGGAGTAGGTCAAAGCACTTTATATGCGGCCGATTTAATTACAAGTAATAGTTCAGAAACAAATTCTCGAGCAATTATAATTTAATACTATATCAAGCGTCATTGGATAGGTTCTAACTCAACTACAATAAGATTATATCTATAGTATCTTATAAGCCACTACTATATATCTTGATATAGTGGTTATCCTATTTTCAACAAAATATTTCTTCTCAAAGCCAAGATCAGCTAACACAAATAAATAGGCTAAGCAAAGACTGTGCCCGTGGTAGGTTACTATCGGCCAAGCACTCACGCTAACATATAACCGACTGGGTGCTTTCCCAAGAAACTTTATCAAAGCTGTATCTCTATAGCGACACAAACTCGAAAATATTAGTTAGATAAGTATAGCGTTTATATATACTTTGTCTGATAGATTGAAGGCAAACGATAGTGATTATTTAGATTGTTTAAATATATACTAGCAAAGAAAGATACAAATAGACGAACCTAGATATTGTTTTGATTAAATTAGTATACACTGTAAGATACACTTCTAATAATCACTAGTCGGCTGTTGAAAAGCTCTCCGTTGTTGCCTTTAAACAGCTTGGGTGAGATAAAAGCAATGGTTTCTGAC